TTTATTGCGCTTAAACAATCCCAATTTTTATGAAAATAACAAACAAGAACACCAAGACATAAACAATCACTTTATAACGAATCTTAAGGAAAACGTTCAACTTATGTGGCTAAGAAGTTCATTTACCTTAAAATTTTACAAAACACAAGTCACAAAAAAGATTCACGTATGAATTCGAGAATCATTTAACTAAAATATGGAGCTAAATTAGCTTCAATGATAACCGATTTCGACATACCAACCTACTTATGAAATCAAACCGTGCGATTCAACCAATTCAACATCAATTTGCGCAAAAATTGAAGAAACTAGTAAGAATCAATTTTCGTTCATAAGGGATTTAATATAACATTAAAAAAAAACCCATAAAAGAACACCAACCATTTTGGAATTTTTGAAATTCACACAAGGAAAAAAAGTGTAAATTTGAATTGAAACAACACTTTTACAAAGAAATTGGAGAAGAAAAAGAAATTGACAAATAAAGGGTTACCAATTGGAGGAAGAAGATGAACAAATTGAGGAATTGGAGCTTGAAGAAACCATGCCCGGAGCTACTGCCACCGCCGGCCACCGCCTCGCCGGTCGCCTCTCCAAGCCGCTGCTTTATTCCCGTTGATGTTCCCCTCTCGTTGTTCCCCCCTCTGTTTCCCCCTTGTGAAGCTTCAATTTATAGAATGGAGAGCCAAATTCTTCCGTTGGAGCATTGATTTTGGCGAACGTTGGAGAAGAGCCGTTGGAGGCTTGGTCGTCGCGGTTACTCTTCGAAGAAGAAGGAGATGGAGCGCATTTTTTTCCTTTCTTCGTTGACTTAGAATGAGGGAGCAGAGATGGGTTGTATTTGTTGATGGCTTTGGGCTTTGGGCCAAATTCAATCTCTTCTTTTCAAACTTGAACTCCGTTTTGGCCTTTTGCTATATTTTTCTCCAAACAATAAGATATCTGATAATTTTTTGGTTAAGAAAAATAAAATAAAAATAATAGAATGTAAAAAATGATTAAAAAACTACTATTTATGAAAGAAAAATAAAAGATTGTAAAAATGAGAATTAAAATAAAACTAAACTAAAGAACTAAAAATTAAATACTAAAAATATAAAAAATGCATAAAAAAGAATAAAAAGAACTAACCCAAAAACGACGTATCAA